GTGGAATTCGCCGCGAAAAGTAGCTTCCGGAATGGTGCCGAAAGTATGTAGCCTTTTAAAACCTAAGTGCGCGAAGTGCCTAACACCAGCATAAGCGAGCGTTTGTCGCGGAGCACCATAGATAGTCTCATTTCTGATCAATATCCAAATTTTCAGCATTACACTGTGTTTTAGCCAAAAGGGTCTTTGAAAGTTTATAAAAATACGTCTGAACGAGGTGAGCGCTCATTATCATTTGCGAATAGCCTATATCGCAATGGGACCCTACATCTTCAGCGGCTCGTGCGTTGGTGTTCAAGGCGAACCGCGGTCAACTGGACTTTACAAGACCTATATGTGCCAAGTCTTCAGCTGTTCGGTCCATACAAACTTTTCCTTGATAATTGCACTATTCAACACATTTTCTTTCCTACCAGACGATCCGATACTGGCGGTTCTAGGAAACTAATAATCCCCAGGGCCAGACTTAGGGTCAGGCGAGGTTTATTTACATGTCGCGTTACTCATGATATGGATAGGCTCATAAGAGTCCGATCTTTTCCTGCTAAGCTATCTTTGTTTGAATGCATTTCAAAAGATTATCTGCAGTCCGACAGTGGAAGTTGTTACTAACGCGCGGGTTGGGTAGCTTCTTTTTCCTTTACACTTTTGCACATGCATTCTATCGTGTTTTGTGTTTTTTGTTTGTGTTTTATGGTTCATTTGATCGTTATGTCTCACATGGGATTTATTCCGTGTAATAAATGAAATGAAATGGCACTATTCAACATATTTACTTACACAGCTTTACATATGTATAGATCTACATAAGATAGGACATCGCTATTTAGGTCGTTTCGTAGTCCGTTGTTTATTAAGAACTAAGTCGTGCAACTTTATTGACTTCTTTTTCTAAGATCACCATCTTTCGGCTCATATAGGTCACGGGTTGTGGGTTACAAATGCAGCTTTGGTAATTCTGCATTGCATGTGAGAATCACAGTAAGTGTAGAAATGCCAATTTATGGGGTGAAGACAAAAATACAAATTGTCACAGATTTGGATAAGCTTCTTGAAAGAGGTTTATTTAACAGCTGGCCGCGAAATTAATACTCCATCTCCTGCACTCCTGTTTTGTTTGTTACAGAAAACCATGGGATGATTGGCACTGCCAACAATCGGATAAAACATTTGTGTTCAGCATGTCCAGGTCAACTTACGTCAATATGCAAAGTCTCAGATCTAACTGTTAAGAATCTTTGGTATTGACGGATCGGGACAGCTTTGACGTTTCGTCATGTTCGACTTTGTGGAAACCATATCATGATCTTTCTTTAGTTTACATGGCTTTTTCACTAAAATTAGTTGTCATTCTCTGCCAGCATTTTACTAATAGTTGCGGATCTATGGGCTTGATGTAGATTTTGCAGAGATTTATTTTTACTCAAAACCGTAAAACGCCATCTCACCGGGAAAACGCGTAGTTTCCATTGTATGGTTATTATCAAAGATAAAGGTTGTTCTGCCTAGGTTGTCTCATAATTTTTTACCGTTTTTACCCTAAACATCAGCATTTCTCGACAACTAAGGCACCTACAAAGAATCCAAATACATGATCGTACTTCTGTAGTATTATGAGCTATATGATCACATGCAGTTTGCCATTTTGCCTCATTCATTTTTTCTTTATTTCTAGTCATGGAAAAAATTCGGAAAATGTATAGTCGAATGTGCGATGTGTAAAGCTTACGCTAAAATAAATCGAGAATTTTTTTGGATATTTTGAGTCGGAGATACGATTTTTTGAAGAAAAGTTCGTTTTTGACTACTATCAGATTTCGGCTCAAAACTTCGCGTGGGATACGATTTGGACAGACTTTTGGTAGCCATTTTGTAGAGCTTGCTTTGCTCTGTCGAATGGTTACTCAAATCACATCAGATGAAGGAAAGATACAGAAAAATGGCGGTTGCAGTAAAAACGGTAAAAAATTATGAGACAACCTAATATAAAAGTGAAATAATAAGTGGCACTTTCCTCTACTGCGAATACGCTGTTCTTCCCTCAGGCCAAGTTCGTTTTTAGAATCAATCCATGTCATTCCTCAAAATTCGTTGTGAGGTCGGCATTTCTAGGTTGTCCGGAAAGTTTTGTCCGTTTTTCATCGCTTACTAAATCTCACAGAATATATGTCATGGACGACTTAGGTCACTTGACTCAGATTTTAATCCTCTTTCTTACAGCTATATTTGCTCTCTAATCTACCCTGTCTTTGCAAAGTTATCGCCACGGATTTTTGAGCAGCTCAGCAATATCGCCAAATCTTTACTGAATTTCAAAAATCTTTATCCAGATGTTTTCAAAGAGTGCTGGCAGCTGTTTTGTAGAGCAGACCTTTGGCTACATTGTATCCATTTTAGATTACATGAGCCACGTTTACCAAGTCCGTTATAACTATTTATTTGATAAAAACCGTGGCTTTTTGCTTACGTTTATCACGTAAAAGTACCGAAAATTCCAAAAAGCTGCTTTTTCAGAGCAAATTAAACTTGGTTGTGTTGCATATAATCTCTATATATATAAAACTCAAAGTGTGTTTGTCTGTTAATAAGTATGTTTTTTATACAAATCTTTCTGAGTGGACTAAATGAGCTGAAACTTTGCACACTTATGTTTTGGACCCCGGCGCAGAACATAGGCTACTTTTCGCGGCGATTTACTAGATCCTTCTATTGATTTGTTGATTTGTTTACTTACATCTGGGAAAATGAGGCTTGACATGCTCAAACCAATCATTTCGCCATGATCACGTAGTCAAAGGATGGTAAAGCTCATTTTAATCTCAATGTCGGAAAGATGCGGGCATTTCGTTTCAAAGCCCTTTTTGCGTAGAAGAAGCTCAAAAACGTAAGTATGGGTAACTTCTTCTTAGCTAAACTGGAGACCCGAGTGAAACCGGGACCGCCGGCTAGTGTTTGATAAGGATCATGTTTCCATTCGCAGGAACTTTAAAAACTTTCTTATAATTGCTGCAATTGCGTGTTTCATGACTTGGCCAAAAATCGAAACCTTAGAAGAAATAATTTTTTGAAACCAAAAACAGCACACTAAAAAAATCTAAACAAATTACCTTGTAGTCCGAGGATTGCTCTATTTGATGCATACTTAAACCTTTCCCAAACTTCGGAATGAAATTTCTAAAAATTAGCCTAACTTGGAGCAGATAAAATTGACGGGTGGGGGTCTTGGCAATCATCAAAAGAAGTATGCAAGATTTTGGTTCGAAAATATATCCATAAGAAAGTGAAGGAAAAGCTGCATCGAATGAATTCCTGAAAATCATTCAGGTCTTTATTGCGCGTAGTTTTGTAGTGGTTTGAAAAAACGGACAAAACTTTCGGGACAACCTAGTAAATTTATATGTGATTCATCCCTTCTTGTAGAAGCACGTATACTGACAAAACAATTTTTGTAAAAGCGACAGATTTCATTCTATTACATTGGTCTGATTGTAAGAGACATTCTTCAGTAAGGCAGTTTCAAATGTTGAAGAAACTATTAGGGTGATCACTAAAAAATGGGGCAGCTTGATTTTTATTAGATTTTGAGATTTTTTGTTTCGATCAGCAACAAGCAGGCTGCAACGTAAACGTCGCTTATATAAGCGACCTTCGCCTATTATTCTGGCAAAGCGCCAACGCTCCTCTCCCACAACCCTATGCATGGCGCCCTGAAGAACTCGAACAAGGTTTTTTGAACATCGCTCATTCTTGCGCTGCCATATCGTAAAGTTATAGAGCGATTGATACACCATTCGAAAGAGCTCTTCATGCTCTTCCAAACGGTCTATTGCACATACAGGTTTTTTTCCTATTTCTAGGTAAAAAAGCGAAACACCTGAAAAATCGCGATCTTTTGGCGCAACAAAAACCAATAAATCAAGTTTCAATCTGTATTTTCCGAAGATAGACAAAATGTGAGGTAAACTGCATATGGATGGATAGAGCGCAAAAAGCTCTTTCAGAAGGTGCCTATAAAACATGCGTTTATCTGCAAAGAATTGAATAGCACGTATCTTTGTTCTCAACGATGCTAATGGCCATATCTCCTGAATTTGAAAGTTGAGGCCAGCAACCCACCGTGGGTCTGGTGACTGTACCTTCACGCATTGCAGCAGTAGTACCATGGGTGGTTTCGCATGTCTCACTGCGCAGATACTGCCCGAAGTTTATAATTTGTCAAAGTGACTAACTTTGCATTTCAGCCACTATAAAAATTATTAGGTATGTAAATGACCTTATATAGGTATTTTCTGAAAGACAATAATTTGTTCTAACATCTTTAAAAATTGGAAAGTTTAATCACTTTTCTTTTTCGAGAAATCCGCCTTTATTCTCTAGGTGCCCCATTTTTTACCGATCACCCTAATAAAAATTTCAAAATTCGGCTTTGTAAACCTGAGCATGTTTTTATTAGGTGTTCGTTATTTTCAATCACGACCTAACATTTTGACGCGCCCTTTCGTCTTCCAACATCATCCTTTACACTGCGAATCTTTAGTGCTCAAGGCGTCTGAGGAACGCTAAGTCATTGGAACCTGCACGGCTCGGTAACCCGTAAGACCGGAATCTCTTTTACCAATCGCTTTTTTCTCAATGCATCTGTATATGTGCATCGTTGAAACGTGAGACTTCGAAAGGACCGCGACAATCTTTTGAAGAAAGAAAGTGCATTAGGAAACCTGTTGGGGAAAACATTGACCAAGGATCTTTGGCGAGAGATAGAGGATAGCATGTTGCTTTCACTTTTGCGTTAACCTTGACCTTTGCTCAGCCACTAGAAGTGACCAATGAGTAAAAACGACATTTTGAAAAAGCCACTAAAAGCGAGTCTAAATGCTGGTTGAATCAATCCTCAGTTATAACTTTTATGAATCTTTTCTTGCAAATAAATATTACAATAGGAAGTTTTCGAGGCACTGTTAACTTTGAAGGATTACTGGTTTTTCTTGCAATTTCCTTGATTAGTAATGCAGTCCTTGCATTTCATTTGAACCTGTTACTGCGGTCCCCGTTTTGGTGGTAGAATCTATTTTGACCATTTTCGAGTCAGCGTTTGGGTGCGGGTCTCTTTTCCAGAATTGGAATCTCGACTTTCCTCCGGATTTCTTAGTCTGTGATTGTTTAGAATGCTTGAATTGTCCTTTATTGCCTCTTTGCGCCTCCTGTGCTGAGCTTTGCAACGTATCTTGTCTTGTATTAGATTGTGAACTGTATCCGGGAACTTGCTGTGGGTTCAATGAATTCCAATTGAAAGATTGTCCCGAACTTTGCCTTGAAGCTTGTACATTCTCTGCTTGCTTCTGTTTGACAGTCTGCGATGGCACCACTACACTTCGTTTTGGAACTTGTTTGGCGAATTGCCCCGATATCACTTGTTTCGCTGGAGTTTTTCTTCCCTTTCTGCGCTTTCTATAGACTACACAGAGTGCAATCAATGGCAGAACAACGAAAAGTAAAACCAGCAGCACGACGCAGATAGTCGCGTACGCAACGCTGAAATACTGATTTCATGTACACAAACTTTGAAGCAGACGTACATCGAAGATTTGGTAGTGCTTTTCTTCGATTTTTTACCATCCTTAATGTGACTTTGAGCTGGGGGTGTGATATCGTCATCGTCATCGTAGTTGAAAGGTTCCTGCGGCGCTTTCGATGTGCCTTCAACAATACAAATATGTGTTACCCTCTTCATGATCATGCTAAAGTAATGTTCGGGCACATGGCCCAAAGCCTCTCTGTTAATGAGCTTCTGAAAACATTATCCTGATTTCAGGCGTACAAGGCGCGGAGAATTTTATTTTAGATTCGAACGTTTTCGCGACCAAAGAGGCCTATACTGTGCCTTATTGCCTAAACAGGAAAGGATACTTGGTGACCCCGCCCATTCATAATGGTTTGTGTATAAAAAAACGTTTTTAATGCTGGTTCGAATACTGTTTTCCACATCTGCGAAACGAGAACCTGGATGGGGTTATAATTATTTTTTCAATAATAAACTGCCCTACTGCGGAGGGTGATACACCTTTCAGAATTCTCCTCAATAGCTTCAAAAGGCAAAATAGACCAAATTGAGTGATTTTGACTACCTAAAAATACGCAGATTTTTTACGAAAAAAAAGTTCGTAACTGCCTTCATATAATCGTTTCGCAGATTTCGAGCACAGATTTAGAATCAGCGTTTTGAGTTGCACCTTATAGTATACATCACATACCAAATGACCGGGGTCATCAACTATCCTCACTTGTAAGAGAATCATGCGACATAAGAATTGCTGTTCGAAGCAGAGTGAAGCGGGCTGAGCGCCTTGTTTGAAAAATCGAAAGAGTGAAATCTGCGCTCCATGCGAGTGAAATTCGGGATAAGGCATAGTTTGCTTTGAACAGGATAGGTCCAGCTCTTGAGAAGCGAAGAAAAATTGACTATAATCTAGTCGGTGAATTAAAATGATGCTTTCACCACAGCGAAATTAATTATGCACTCAAAGCCTTCCTATATTCGGACCAGGAGATAGGGAATAGTCTTCCAGTCAAAGCTTTTTTACGCATTACCATACCTAACAAGAATACAAAGCAAATCCGTAACCAGCTTCACAAAAAGCTCGTCTATATGGCAGTAAAGTGCAAAGAGTGAGAAACAGAAAATGTTTCGGAATAGATGAGTTTTCTTTTCTCTTGAGTTGATTTTCTCTAGTTTTCAACATTTAACATAACGGATCGGTGCTGCAAAGGGGCAGCACGCGGTTTTACAGAATTTTCTTGAATTTCACAGTGAGTTTATACTTCAAAAGTAAATCAAAGGCCTAGTCCCATACTTTGAAGGTAACTCTATGACCTTGGCATCCTGTCATATAATAAGTGTATACCAGTGGGGGCGCGACAAAAATTTTTTCTAAGCGAAGGGTGTGGCTAACGCCACGCACTCCGAAAATTTTTCTAGAGTGCTCCTCCAAAAAATCGGGCCCATCTCCTAAAATTCAGAAAAAGGGGGCGTGGTTGGAGCGAACGACGCGCGCGCAGTTCAAGCAACCGCATTTTCTCGGTTTACATCTCTACTCGAATCGGTTTTTCTGCTTACGTATGATAACATTTGAACCTGGAAGTGACTGAGTGGCACTGGCACCGTCCACCCAAAATGGAGATTGGCGAGATTATGATGGCATACTAGTGTGGGCCCTCATACTAGACAAACCTCCAAGGTTCGCCGCAAAAGACTGCTTCTAAAGCGAGAAATCCGCTCCGGAAGTAACAAAGTGGGTGGGGCGCCCCCGGCGGTCCACACAACTCGAATTCAATGTTTTTGTCGCCTTCAGGCCTTCTGAAAGCCCTGATTCCGAATATGGAGTCGAAAATTCGCGAAACCCCCAAAAATCCCTGTTTTGAGAACCCTCTGCAACAAGTGCAGGCCAGATAAAGCATGCAAGTGGGCGGGGCGACCGGGGACGCCCCGCCCACTTTTGTTACTTCCGGAGCGGATTTCTCGCTTCAGAAGCAGTCTTTTGCGGCGAAACTTGGGGGTTTGTCTAGTATGGGGGCCCACACTAGTATGCCATCATAATCTCGCCAACCTCCATTTTGAGTGGACGGTGCCTTTAAGGGGTAACGCCTTTTTGTTTGCGTGTTTTATGTTCTCATGGAGCAAAGACCGCCATTGAATTTGTCGTCACGATTTCAAAAATAACCTTTATCCACTTCAGGAAATGAGGACACTTTGTTGGCTAACTCCATCGCGCGTGATTTTGCGGCCCAAAAAGTGTTAACTGGTGTTATAACAATCGCATCGAGCTATCACAGACCCATTTGACTTTCTTCGCAATGAAACATACGCAACGGTTTCGATGGTTGCGACTCGTTCTGCTTGGTATAATGAAAGAGCACTAATTCAATTCTAAGCAATCAAAAATTACAACTTCGCTCTCACTTTTAACAGATAAAGCAGCGAGAGAACCAAAAAAATGAAAATGAAAACACTTAACAGACTATGGCACCCTCTCCTTGGAGTTTTATCGTTTGTAGAAATTGGGAACAAGCATAAATTTAGCTTATATAACAAAATAAAAGCGAACATACGTGGACCATGCGTGGTAGCCGAGATCCCTGGAGCTGGAACAAATGAATAACGCAGTGTCTTGAAGTTGAACTATTTTTTATGTAATTCTATTTCTATAAGAAAAAGATATTTACTTTTTTGTCGCGGTGTTGAACTATTTGGATAGTTTGCGAACGTCACTCTCGACTTCATTGATTTAGCTGATGCAATTGTTTCTGTCTTTAATGTAGCGAGCAACTTGATGGTTGAGAAATTTGCTTTTTCTGCGAGCTTAGAGCTTTCTGCCATTTTCGCTGTATTCATTTTCGTCAAATTTGCACTTTTCGTGCTCATTTCCCAGTCGGATGTGCTCTGAATCGCTTAGGAAGTAACTAAGTACTGCGACAATCGACATCATAAAAACAATACAAGATAAAAAGTTACCGAGTTTGATTTTTCTGTCGTGAAGGTGGTGATCGACGATTCTGTTAGATCCAAGTTTTTTTCTAAATGTAAAAAACAGTAGTTTACAATCAACGCATTACTGAATAGCTTTTAGTCATTGCGCTTTCATCATTAAATTTGCATCTCAAGCCGCTGCTACATGGTGTAAACATCTTTTGCTCTCACCTGACTTTACCTATGTACAATATCGTGTTTTATTTTTTTTATGAGATTTGTGTTACCTATGATTTTTTTACAACTCTTTGATGAACCTTTTACTGAGAAGCACGTAAAGCACAGCATAGCAAAAAACTTAAGTTAATCAAATCCTAAACTGGAGGTACCTGTTCATCTATTCCCTATATTCGCACCTGCGCTATTCTATTAGGTCGGTGCAAAAGTTTTGTCAGTTTTTTCAACCCATCGGCAAACACCCTAGAATGAAGATAAACAAACGCTTTAAAACGTATCTGATGCAGAATTTTTTCCTCTTTCCAGCTGCTTAACTCCCATTTTGTTTCGTTATGCGAGAGGGACGAGATATTTGCTGCAAACTACAACCACCGTTTATTTCCAAAATTTTTGTATGAGACATTCGAAGGAGCCCTGACAGCCAGCAGATAGGGCTAACTTTTTGCCAACTTATGCAATTTTTTCCTTTTATCAGCTGCTTTTTTAGATTTTTGCTAAGTAATTTTCTAAAAGTCTTGTGTTTTGAAAAAATTGCATAACTTATTGCACCAAACACTGCAAAACCTACAGAAACCCGTGGTTTCAGCACACGATTATTACTACCGCTACTATTACAGATTACATGAGCGATTTTCGCTTCAAATTACGAAGATTTTGAAACATAGGTTACGCCTGTGCGCACTCTTGAAATTGAGAAATACTGCGATTTTCCCCACAAATTTCTCCTGTCTCGGCAAAAAAGACAAGTATTAGAAAGAGGAGAAAAATCTGCATCGAATGGTGACTGAAGTGCTCAATATTTTATGTTCTACGAGATCAAAATAGGCTGAATGTATAATTAGGTCACTTCAAAAAATAAATCGTAGAAATTCTGAAAGACAAGCTGTAGAGCTACAAAAAATAGCAATTGTTGGCAAAAGGTTTGCTCTATCTGCGGGTTGTTAGGGCTCCTCCGAAAGTCTCATACAAAAATTTTGAAAATTAGCGAAATTTGGACAAGGTGAAAATGAGTGGTTGTAATTTTCAGCAAATATCTCGTCACTCTCGCAACCAAACACAATAAGAGTTTAGCAGCTGGAAAGAGGAAAAATTCTGCATCGGATACATTTTGAAGTCTTTGTTTATCTTCATTCTAACGGGACTGCCGATGGATTGAATAAACTGACAAAACTTTTGCACCGACCTGATATTATAAAAACCATCTCGCAATTGGCGACTTCAAGACGCTATAAAATTTTCAACTATCGTAGAGATAACATCTGTTTTTCTTCCGTAGCATGCAGTTTTGAAGATATAGCTACAGGAAAGTCTTTGTGCTTCAAATGCGGCCTTTGACGGAGCGAATCTCTACAATCAAGCTTATGCCGGAATCCCCTTTGATGGTATACACGATCCCAAATCTGCTTGCACACTGGCTTTGTCAATATACCAGGCTCATTTGAAGCACCCTTTAAAAAACATTTTAGCTTGATATCAATTCGTTAGTAGCCTGAAAATGGATTCACATGCAACTTTTGCCTTCTTCTAAAAGCTTGCTTGATTTGAAGTTGTAAAAAAGGAACATGTGCAGCACTGAAGCACAAGACTAACCAATTTTTTTATTCAATTTCCTTTAGATTGGAACAGTATCACAAGTGAGCAGTGACGATCTAATCACTTTTAGGAGGAGGAGCGGGGGGGGGGGGGGGGGGAGGAATGCCACAATATTCTCAATGAAGAATCGTGGCCTTAGCCAAGGCTTCCGAAAAAAAATTTTGGGAAGCTTCTGATATGTTAGCCGCCTGTCACACTCTCGAAAAAATTTGTTCTTACGCGGCTAAATTGAATTTTCAAAAACCGAGTTTTTTTTTGATTACTTGCAAGTGAAGGCATGTCAGGTGCACAATTCTAAACTCAGGGAAGCAATTTTCTTCACGACCCATTCTCGAGGCGATGGGCACCCATGCTCCCCATCCTGTACACTGCAGCTGAGTGATTTCCTGTGAATCCTGTCAAAAAATGGCTTTTTGCTTTCAGATCCAACCATGGCCGTTCGCTTACAAAGACTTTGTGGGATGGGACAATCTATACCCAAACGAGGCAAGCAAAGCTACTGCACAAAAGCACAGTCTATGATGGCGTACACTTCTGTCTTCACAACCATAAAGTCGGCTAATTGCCAGCTCTGACCATTTAACGACGATGAAGGGAGAGGAAGAAACCGTGGCTGGTGTACCGGTGACCCTTGTGCGCAAATCATAAGAGTATTAGGAGCCAGCTAAACCTACAATTAACTAACAAATTTCTGGCAAGAAGAAGTGGTGGAGCCTCATTGGTGAAACGATGAGGAAATACGTATAGCTTACTATCAAAAATGTATTAAGAAGATTTTTTCACGGTTTTCTGTTGTAGTAACCGTAATCCATAGCATTCCGTTTACCTTTATACCTATCAAAAATCAGTCGTTGCTATTTTTACTGCAAGGGAGCAGCAGTCTTCAAATGATCGCGATCAACGAGGGATGGCATTCTGCCTGCTCGAATGGGTATGTTGTTCTTATACAGGGTGTCCCTAAAGTACATATACACTGTTCGATCGTTAATATCTTTCTTCCCAACAAGTCTTTTGCCTTGCTTGGTGTTGCGGCTCGGTGTGCTCAGCACCTCACCTAGTGCTCGTCCGCCTTACTCCGCAACTCCTGACTCCAGGATCTACTGCTTCGGCGCTAGTGCGCGCACTCTAGCGTCTGCTCGACGCCAACACCCCTCTACCCGTACGACACGAACATCACACGCACGACTAGATTACATTGATTACATTATATTTATCTAAAACTACACAAAATAACAACAGCTACTAAAACGAACGAGAATACTAAAACTACTAAAAGGCACTAAACACTACTTAAACTACTACACTACTACTCCAGGATTAAGAAGAATACGCACGGGACGAGCCGCCTCGTCCCGTGCTGCCGATGCCTGGTGAAGATCAACTCTAACGAATAGTTCCGGGTTCTCCGAAGGGATCGGTCAGAGTTTGCCAGTGTTACCGGTGTTGAAAGTGTTGCCAGTGTTGAAAGTGTTGAAAGTGTTGCCGGTGTTGAATGGAGATCATCAGTCTAGCAGTTTCATTTTTTCTCGAACGATCTCACCGGCTGGTGAATACGTTGGAAATAGAATTGGGGAATGAGAAATGAAACTGAAATGAGATGGGGAATGTTTTCGCATGCAAAAGATCATCAAACAAACTATTTGGAAAGCGGACGGTTTGTCTGGAATAGGCAATCTCCACTACTTGAAAACGCTGCAGACCTCACTTAGGTCCTTTACTCACTAATCGCAAGCGCGGCAGGATTCGAAGTAAAACACATTACTACTCAGACTTCAGCGTTTTCAATATTGGAGATTGCCTATTCCAGACAAGCCGTCCACTTTCCAAAAAGTTTGTTTGAGCATCTTTTTGCATGCGAAAATCTTCCCCATCTCATTTCGATTTCATTTCTCATTCCCCATTTCCATTTCCAATGTATTCACCAGCCGGTGAGATCGTTCGAGAAAGAATGAAACTGCTAGACTGATGATCTCCATTCAACACTTTCAACACTGGCAACACTTTTCAACACTTTCAACACTTTCAACACTGGCAACACTTTCAACACTTTCAACACCGGCAACACTTCAACACCGGCACACTGGCAAACTCTGACCGATCCTATGGGGTCAACCGCAAGACCCTAGCCCTTACGGGACAGTGAGTCCCCTCTCCACTCCCGCAGTACTGTCCGCTGCTCGTTAAACTACAATGTTAGCTGCGGCGTCTCCATACACAAGAAGAACAACAAAGGCCCAACCGCTCGAAACCGTTGATCATCTGCGGGAGCTACTGGAGGCGCTGCCAGCGGATTGATATCATCAAAAATCGATAATGAACGAAGCTCGAGGAGGCACAGACCGCAGCCCACGCGCCCTTATATACCCTAAAACTTGGCAACGCGCCCAGCAGGAGAGGTCTTGGCGCGATCTTGATAGCGCGCCAAGTAACGCGACAGCCAGCGCTCCGGCCTCCTGTTTCGAGGAGTGGCTTGCATCGCGCGAGCCGCGACACTTGGGGTACCGTTTTGTAGAGCTGGCTTCAGCTTAGATTTACAGTGTGGAACAAATCACCGATTGCTCTTCATTATTGTAGGGATTATGGTAGAAACTTGAAACATATGTGTCAATGTAAAAAAGCTGCCGTCTCAAAATTTTTCAAAAAAATGTGAAAGCTTGTGTAATAGGGTTTTTTATGGAAGCTGAATTCAATACTCAACTATTCACAAGATTGTTAAGCTTTTTGAACGGTGTAACCGCACTTTTTAGGAATATTAAAAAAATGGCCGCTACCTCTTACCCGGCATAACTAGTACTCTGCGTTGATACCACTGCTTGAAACTTTTGAATCAGCAACTCTAATTATCCTAGAGTAAAAGCTTTCAGGCTGATTTGTTTCCTTTCGGAGGCAAAATATGGCCTTTCATGGCTCAAAACCCTCTTTGAAGTTTCTAACGTAATCCTACAGTAATGAAGAAAGATGGGTGATTCATTCTATAATGTAAATCTAAGTTGTAGCCAGTTCTACAAAACGGTACTTGAAGCAAGACAAAAGACTTGTTGGGAAGAAAGATATTAACGATCAAACAGTGTGTACATGCTTTACGGACACCCTGTATCTGATTGAATTACATGTAATTTTTTACATTTGTGCCAAATATCCACAAAGTACATGTTTACCTTACAGTTTTGGTCAACTTACTTTTCCGGAGATATTCAGCTACACATTCTTTTTGCGTCTGGTTCGTGTGCCTTGATTTCATCCAGAGGTTCTGAATAGATCAAAACAAGATTATCACTTGTAGCGATCTTTTTGTACAATCTAATTATGAAACGCGGTTCATATTAATAAAACACCCTATGTTTTGCAACTTTCGGGACTTTTTCTTTGGAAGAAATTCAAGAGTTGGTACTACGTAGATGAGCATAGCAGGAAAGGTATATATAGCACAAGATGAAAGTAGATGTCAATTTTGGGAATGTTATTGCACCGAATGAGAATGTTTAGCGGTTTGTTATTATACGAACGCCTCAAACAAGCTCCTTTTTTCACTTGAAACTGCAATTTTTCAAGTCAACTTGCTACAGTAACAGGCTTCTGCTAGATCTGCTACACTCTGTACCCAGCACGGTTAGAAGGGGGTGGAAAAAAGAAGGCGTTGCTCTTCTCAGACAATTCGAAATGCCTTTGAACATGTGCTCCAAAAACGTGATTTTCTGCGGTTCAAGCACTCTAATTGGCTTTAGCGGCTGCGATATAGAGCTTTTTGATGGACATTTTGTTTGACGCTTGTAAAATTCCCTGTGTTCTCGTTGCGTTTTTCAGCTATGTTCCAATCTTTCGTCAGAGTTAGCAGGGTTTCGAGCTTCAAGGTGCAGTAGGTTCTGTGGTCTTATTTAAGCTAAGCACACAACATGTACAAAATAACATCTATTTGGAAAAAGTTCTCCAGGGCTAAGCGTTTGTTTTGGCCACACAGACATCATCTTGCACAAAGCTATTTTTACTATTGCGATCACCCTTTTAGTGACCTTTTGGCTCAAAAACCTCATGATAAGTCCTGCAAAAAATCTAAACACTGCAGCACGGACACAAAACGTATAAGCAATTCACTTGTCTTATCGCATTCCTAAGCGCGAAGCAGAAGCTGAGTTTTAAGGAAATCGTGCTCACTTTAGAGTTTAGGTTTGAACTTGATCGATTATGCGGTGAATACATAGGGGTTCTTTAAGCGTCAAACAATATATCTATTGAAAGAGAGTTGTTTATCTCATAACTGGGTAGAAGCTACAATACCGCTCATAATTCGTCAAAAAAGTCGCCGGACTGCGGCGCACTCCGCCGTAGTGCGCCGGAATGATCGTCAATTTAACCATATCTCGCTTCAGAATGGACGAATTCTGAATCCGAGGACACCGTTCGATTTAGCTCGACGAGACGCATCATCTTGTATATGAAGCTGAACGTCTGTTTGTCTGTTTGTCTGTACGTATGTTCCGAATAGAAAAATCCATTTCGGAACCGATCCGGACCAAACTTGGCACACATACACTTCGGGCCCCGGCGGGTGTCATAGGCTAGTACTCTGCGTTGATACCACTGCTT